AAAAATATTAAAAAAAAAAAATAAAAAAAAAATATTTAATGAATTTTAAGAAGGTTTTTTATTTTGATTTAAGCAACAGTCATACTTTGCTTTAGGAATGCATATATCCGGTTTCTAATTTCAGGTGGAATTGTTGATAAAAATTTTGTCAGATAAAAAACAGGAAAAGCCACTGTCACAAGTTGCTAATTATCTCTCACATTAATATTCGATTTCGTAACCCTAGTCGGAGTGCACAAAATAGTGTCCCAGCTTTTGCAATGTATAGTTAATAAATATTTATAACTTTAACAAAACTTGGTTTAAGACAGTTCTATCAAAGTTGTCAATAACCTGTTTAAAAGAAAACAGAAACAGCTCTAATTTCTTAGTCATCAAAGAAAAACAAAATAATAGCTTTGTGCAATATTTATGATGTATGATTCATTTCAATATCATCAAATTATGAAATTATTCTTTATGCTTTTAACTATTTTTGACAATTGATGTCTTTTTAAGAAAATATTAAACATATATGTATATTGCTGATAAGATCTCAACTATTTAAATATTTAAACTATTTTCAACTAGGGTAAATGAAATTGGGTAAACATTTCGCCATGATTTTGTAGTTGAGACAGTAAATGATTGCTCATTGATAATTCCAGCTGATGCCGTGAGTGAAATCTTCAATCAATAGGATAAGATAAATCAACAGAAATATATGAATCACGCGCATGTCTCACAGCTCGGTTTTAGATATTGTGTAGGCAGCTCGGAATTGTAGCCAAATTCCATTCAACAAAGGTGCATATGAATGCGAAAACAAGTTAACTATATATATATTTAGTTAAATCATTTCGAATTATTCATTCGAATTAAAATAATAAAGAGATTGGAATAATCACAGTTCCTACAACAAATGAACACATATTAACTGTTACGGTTCGTCATTTCTGGCGTTAACTGTAGACAGTTAGAAGTAGTACAATTCGAGCCTCAGCTCAAACACAATGAATCACTCAGCAATGAACATAAAATATCGTGCTACAAATGACTGCAATTAATAAAAGGTCATTCAACAGAACGTGACAGAGGCGGAGCGGACTAGGACCAAGACTAATCAATGCAAATGTTTAGGTGAAAGTACAACTAGTTAGTACACGCCCACATTATAGTACAATGCACGCCCACTAACATGCCAATTGTTTTCTATATTGATTCGTTATGAATATGGAAGTAGAAAAGTACCTCAATTTACGTGCGACCTGCGAGTCTCAATGAAACAAATGTTTTGAAAGAATATCAATATCTAATCTAGATATATACGTATAATTACTTGTAATATAAATATTTATGTTCATATTCTATTTTATATTGTATTGAAAAATTTGAATTTTTGTATATTTATAAAGTGATTATAGAAATGAATTTATATTTCTATTGCAATGAAATGCATGCAATTTATAAAGGTGTAGAAAAAGTCCAAGTAAACTAGGAATTTTTATGCTTGAACAAATTTGTATAAGAATTATTTATTTTGAAATTTTGGTACATTTTTAAAAGTAATAAAATCGCAATTCTCTTGATTTTTGTTCATATTGAGGGAAATCAAACATATATACATATTTATTTATACGTGTTTGAGGTCAATCAAAATATTTCTGAATTTATATTTCAATATAGGCCAACCGACATTTTTGTGAAATATAATACAGCCACATTCAACAAATGCAAAAATATTTCTACAAAATTTCGACATGTGAATTATGTTTTTATGTGATTCAAGAAGAGCTAAAATCAAATAATTCCCAAGCAAATTGAATTCGAATTTATACATAAATTATGAAATATTTTTAACAAAATAATTGTTATTCAATTTTTGTGAATTCCAAATATGAATCAAATTGTGATTTTAGACCAATAAGCTCCATTATAGGGATTTCTCATTTTTAATAGGTTCAGAGCAAAATAGCAAAATATATACAAAAATTATGCACTAAGAATTTTATTGAAATTTAATACAGACACGTTCAAGATATACGAAAAACATTTTGGAATTTAATTCAAAATATAGAAAATATTGCGAAATAGCTTTAAGCATGTCTGCACGAGTATCTGTGTGTGTGCTTGTGTCTGTGTGTGTGCAAATACATAGTTAGATTCAGGTCAAAAGTTAAGTTATGTTCTACTCGCACCGACTCGCGAGTCCAATTTGAATGACACACGTTGTCGATGATTAAGCAATTAAGCAAATGGCTCCCTGTTCACGTGGTTGGGCGAAAAGAAGGGTGGAACGCTTCACTGGCTGGGCAAATAAGTAAAAGTCCACACACAAATATTTGAATGCAAAATGATATAGAAGCGGATAAAAGTTGAAGTGCATATAAAATATATATATGCATATGTATATGTATTTTTGTATATAAAATGTGTATATAAAAGAGCTGCAAACAGCATTCCTTATTTGACACACTAAACGGGGTTACTGAACGTGCTTATCACACCTGTTAAAGCACGCACTGATAAGGAGCAACGTGCTACAGTAGAACGAGCAAAATCGATCGATGTTGGCCTCCAAAGCGATAAGAACTAATAATTACATATATGCACACTATATATTTAGCATATATAAGTGCTCAACATAATCAAAAATTCACTCTGAAAAGAACTTTATAAAGCAATAAGAAACTACAGCTTAACAGCTTGTACCTGATATAGCTGATAGTAACTAAGTATAATATATATGAAATTACAGCCATAAGAGGTAGAGCTTGGAAATACCATTTATTATAAGGCTCTGAATTTAATAGCTGATATATCTTGAGCAATATGCATGTGCATATAGCACCATAAGAAGCAAATAAAACTAATTGCCTAGTATATCATCTTGCAAGGGACTGCATTGTGCCTAAAAATATAAAGAGCTGCATTAATTCGATAAGAAATACTATATCCGAGCACTGTAAAAAAGCAACTTCATGCTGCAATAGAGTTAACGATATAAAGAATACTTTGTATTCAAATCTATTTAATATTATATGTGTGTAAATTATCTTATTCATTCAATACAAAATTCCAACTAAGTAGAAAATAGACTCTTTCAAATCATGAAAAACCAAAACACATTCATCATGCAAGAAAAACTATAGAAATATAGGAGTTCGCATTTGCTAGAATGTATTTAGTCTTAAAGCAATAACTAGGAAATAAAAAGAATACTAATACTTAGTTTTAAGTGGCATTGTTTATATCAAATAAAAATAAAAAAGAATAAATATTTATTAATATTTATTATTTATTCTTTACAATTTCAATTGAAAAAGCTCAAAGTCTTAACATTCTTGAAGTATCTAGATAAGCAAAATTAATTTATATAAATCACACCTTTCAATCTGAACTATATTATTTCTTTTTATGCATGAGTAAAATTATTAATGGAATTGTTGTAGTTCATTAGGGTATATTATAATCCATGTTTGACTAAATCTAAAACATAACCTCATTTCTGTTATTTGCAGAACGACTTCAAGACACAGCTGACGAATGCGGGCGATAAGCTGGTCGTTGTGGACTTCTTTGCCACCTGGTGTGGACCCTGCAAGATGATTGCGCCCAAGCTGGAGGAGCTGGCGCAGCAGTTTTCCGAAAAGATTGTTGTGATCAAGGTAGAGAACCTAATCAATCCTAATACAATTGCTATACAATTAATCGATGCTTTCTGCTGCTCGCCAGGTTGATGTTGATGAGTGCGAAGACATTGCCATGGAATACAACGTATCCAGCATGCCCACGTTCCTGTTCATCAAGAACTCCGTCAAGGTGGAGGAGTTCGCGGGCGCCAATGCCACCCGATTGACCGAGACCATTCAGAAGCTCATCTAAGAGCAATTGCAATAGAAGTTAAACCTCAATGCCTCTTAAAATTCTTCTTTTTGTTTCTTTGTAAAAATGGATTGTCGTCGTCAAGCAGCAGCAACAGCAGCCGTCAGAAAAGACAATTCGCTAAGTTCTCTTAGTACCATTTAGTTAATTATGTATTCCATAAGTTTGCTATGTTTGCGACACCCACTCACACATACTTATACACATTCACACACAGTTGATCGAACTAATTCTAGCACTCTGATTGGCTCAGATTAAATGTAATTGTAAATCAATTGTAATTCACATATTATTGTTTGGCGTGTCCCGCAATCTGCAGCGCAGCATCAAAAAACAATTCAAAATACAAAAGTGGCTTTAAATGTAACATAAAAGAAAGAAAAAAGAATAAAAAAATTGTGAAAATTATTTGCTTTAATTAACTAAACTAATTAAGACGAGTTCGTTTTTGTACCGCAATTGCATTGTAAAACATTTCACAAGAAACAGCAAACAGAAAATGCAAAATAAATAAAAAAAATTTTAAAACATATAAGAATTTCCTTGTTTCAAGTGTATACCCTGTAATGTAAGTTTATTTTGCCAATGCCAAAGAGAGGGAAACTTTACTTAACTTTCAGTTACTAGGTAGGGTCAACTATTCCAGATTAGATAAGATACTAGTCAGGTCTATAAAGTCTACAAATTGAACCAACAAAAAAATGAAAAGTCATTTCTGATAAGAAAGTCTTTTTGCACCCAGACTGATTGGCCTAGAGAGATATACATATATGTATATGTATATATATGTATGTATGTATGTATGTATATATACCTTCATGAAGAGTACATATTACTTGTAAAATATATAGTTGAATATAAACTGACTCATAGATCACAGATATCTTAATATCTTCAGATATTTAATGTAAATATTCCATTGAATTCATTTTCATTTTCATAGACAAGTGTCTCTTTTACATTTAATTCTTAAAATCCGAAACTAAATCTAAACAAAGCAATTAGTTGGAAGAAGTATGTACACTTGAGTCTCGATTATGTGTACCCCGCTAAATCGAAAATCGCGTAAAAACATTCTATCTTCGATAAAAGAATTCTACCTCCTTGAACATAATTTGTTCTCGATAATTCTCGATCATTTAAATTTCTGGGTAAATCGAAAAAAAAAAGCTTACCTCCTTGCCATTTAGACCATATCCAGACTTGACTTTATAGTTTCAAATTTTTTCCTATAAAATGTTCAATATTCATTACATATTCAAATAATATTAATATAAATATTCTCTTTGGTGCAATACAAAATAAATTTTTAAACAAACTTTTTTTTACATAATAAATTGAATATACAAAATAATTGCTTGATTATCAAATTTTATAGTCAAAATAAATACAATATTTAAATAATT